ACTTCATATACTATTCTTGACCTGGATGAAGTTTTTTTTTTTTTAATATAGGAGACGAAAGACCAACTTGCCTGCACAGTGTGAAGAGATATTTGAATGAGAAACATATCCTATTCTCAGTGGTGGTAGTGAGATGAGATTTATAACAGGTACTTTCACCACTTTCATACCACTGCTGATATTACCACTCACCCTCCTCTCTCTCTCTCTCCCTCGTGATAAATTAATAAATAATAGAATAACTGGTGAAAAATTGACAACTTGGGTACGTGTGGGTTAGTGTAAGTATTCATATATTAAACCTTCCTTGTTAATACGGGATGTCTTGACGTTGGACGAGTGTATGAATATCGTCAAATAACAATTAATTAAAGATAAAATTCACCTTTGTTATTCATTCAGGAATACTTAGAGTTATATTGATATTTTACCTATATTGTTAAACTCACTCAAGGTATCAACGTTGAAAATGGTCCCAGATTATTTTAAGTCGCTAGGTTCGCAACAGATAACAGCCACTGGGACACACACACACACGCAACACTTTGACATTCCACCCAGGACTACAGAACCTGAAATTGCATGACCCGGAACACAAGTCAAGTGTAGATAAAGCCACACCTAAGGGTACACTTCCACCACACCCTCTCTACTTACGTCTCCCGAAAAAGGTTAAGTTTCCCTTGAACTTTCACTATAAAGGAACCATTTTCTGTTGGGGAAACGAAGCACAAGATCCGGATTCTCAGAGATTCTTACATTTATCTTTTCCTCGTAGTTAAGAATAAGAGAACGCTTTTAAGTTGAGGAGAAAGAGTCTCTGCAATTCCTACGCAGTTTACGCCTTCATTTATTACAAGTGAGTCAGTTTACACGCATTTCTGTATCTCCAGTTAGTGAGCATAGCAGCGTCTGAGGATCTGAGCGTTACACAAGATGGACGGAAGAGCATTGTGTCTCACCAACATAATTTAATCTTTGTTTTTGTCGACGGTAGAGACACGTGCATACATCTGTCTCTGGCTGGTGAGGAAGGTTTTAGCGAGTTCTCCCTCCTACCCCTCTCCTCTTTTCCCCCCCCCCCTCCTCCCCCTCCCCCCTATCCTCTCCCTCCTCCCCCTCACACAAGCTGGTGATATCGCCCGAGGGAGGGATAACTTGGTGTGTTTGTCTGATCATGGTGAATGTGTCTTGGGCGTATCCTGGTGGTTAACTTAGTGAGCCTTCATTATGGAGTGCCTTGGTGATGCCTCGTTCACACACTAGTGATAGATACACCTTGGTGATACATTGATGATACATACTGGTGATACATATTAATGATACATATACTGGTGATAAAACCTCAACATTACCGTAATTACTAAAGGCACCAGACTGGCACTCCGGCGAGGTGCCAATTCAAGCCACCAAGTACCGTATTTACGACCTGTGAACTTCACCTTTGATCTCGGATACACACACACAAGTTCTTGGGGTTGTGATGGTAAATATGTGTACCAAACATTAGTTAGTGACTTGATTTCTTAGTTAGTTAGTTATTTAGATGGTTGGTTGGTTGATTTCAAAGTTAATTAGCTAGTTACTTAGTTAGAATTAAATTGGTGAGGTAAATAACGCTGGTAAACAAACATAACCAGTCCCTACACCTCTTTTGTTCACGTTAAGCTCCTCTGCTCCTCATTCTAGATCATTACGTTAACTCCTCGATAATTAGAATGTTTCCCTGTACCCTAACTCAGACTGTACCGTGAGTAGAATGTTTCCCTGTACCCTAACTCAGACTGTACCGTGAGTAGAATGTTTCCCTGTACCCTAACTCAGACTGTACCGTGAGTAGAATGTTTCCCTGTACCCTAACTCAGACTGTACCGTGAGTAGAATGTGTGTCCACTCTAAAGAATTAATCAGATTTAGTGCTTGTTTCTCTTACTAATGATACTAACTGAAAGTATCTATATAAATTCGAGTCTCAGTGAACTATAAACGCCACTTTGAACAGCCCAATCGTACAGTTAAACAGTTAGGGGCTTTATTACAGACAGTCAGACAATTACGAGGAAAATTTCACTTACGAATCTTTCTAAACTCGAATACCTCAGATCGTTGATGACAAAAACAACAAAGTCACAAATGCCAGGAATATGGTGTGTGTGTGTGTGTGTGTGTGTGTGTGTGTGTGTGTGTGTGTGTGTGTGTGTGTGTGTGTGTGTGTGTGTGTGTGTGTGTGTGTGTGTGTGTGTGTGTGTGTGTGTGTGTGTGTATGTGTGTGTGTGTGTGTGTGTGTGTGTGTGTGTGTGTGTGTGTGTGTGTGTGTGTGTGTGTGTGTGTGTGCCGTGATTTACTGTCTGTCCTTGTCATTAATTTTCCTTTAAGTGGTTCAGTGTGGGTGGAGGAGAGGCAGTGTGTCTCTACAATAACAATGATTAAAATAAAATAATAAATACCATCTTTATCAACATTATTAATTAAAACTCCAATATAAGGAAAGTTACGAAATTAACTAAATTAATATATATTACCTTTATTTCTTTAAATATTGGTGCTTTAGTTGTTATTAAGTACCAATAACATAACATTACGTATTAAAAACTAACTAGAGTACAAATATTATCAAAGTAAGTAATGATAGGATGATTGTTCTGATGATTAGTCTTAGTCTTAGAGTCTTTGGAGCTAGTTACTTGGGTCTTAAGTGTACGGAGAAGTAGGCTCATCAAGCAGGCGGGAAAGGAAGGCATAATTTATGCTTGTCATTAGAGGAAGTCTTGGAGAGGGGAGGGGAGGGGATGTGGTGGAGAGGGAGGAGGAAGGTAGGGGAGAGGGGTGTGGCTAATGGGGAGAGGAGGAAGGATTTGGTAGAGGGGTGGGGACAGGAGAGGCAAGAAGGATAGAGGGAGGGAAGGAAGGAGAATTTGTAGGTAGAGGGAAGGGGAAGAGAGAGAGGAGATGGAAAGGGGTGTGTAAAAAGGTGAAAGAAAATTGGAGGAATTGTATACATGGGAGGAAGGGAGGGATGGGAAGAGGGAGGAAGGGAAGGGAGGAAAGGAAAAAAAGAGAGGTAGGAGTTTGAATGCTACAACAGCAAAAAAACTTATTTATGGACACAGTGCAGACGGAAAATAAGAAGTTAGAGAGGCGTCTGTTTTTGTATACATCTATTGGGTCTCTCTCTCTCTCTCTCTCTCTCCTCTCTCTCTCTCTCTCTCTCTCTCTCTTCTCTCTCTCTCTCTCTCTCTCTCTCTCTCTCTCTCTCTCTCCTCTCTCTCTCTCTCTCTCTTCTCTCTCTCTCTCTCTCTCTCTCTCTCTCTCTCTCTCTCTCTCTCTCTCTCTCTCTCTCTCTCTCTCTCCTTTTTACATTTTTTCCGACAGACTTTCCCTACCTTGACAACAGATTTAATTTAAGAACAAAACAACCAACGAATTCTGCGAGGAGAAAACCACGACATTTCGCAATTGGACTGAGAAGTTCTGGAATGAATTTACTTCAGACTTCATGAAGGTTCTAACGAGAATATAAAGGCAGGATATTTCACCTCCCCCTCTCCTCCTCCCTCCTCCTCCCTCCCCCATCCCCTCAGAAACATGTCAGGGGGCCAAGTCACCACCACGTTCTGGACATGTTCTGGCCTCAACAATAACATTGCGGGGTCGAGGAACCTAAACACAATATGATTCTAAGAGCGATGATACATGATTCGAGGATCTCTCTCTCTCTCTCTCTCTCTCTCTCTCTCTCTCTCTCTCTCTCTCTCTCTCTCTGGGATGGATGGAGAGAGTGAGGAAAAGGAGGAATCGACACAACCACACACACAATGATCCGGGGTGACAGTGGTAGCGAACCTGCGTCGCCTCCCTTACCAGGATTACTGATGAGTTTGGTGGTCCAATAGAAAGTTTCCTCCGTGTCTTTACAGAGAAAGGAACCTCCGATGGGCCAGATGACCAATGTGGACAGGGAGACAGACGGATAAGTTTTTATATATAAATTTCTATAGTCAATTTACTGAGAAATATATATTAAACTATATATTTAATTTATTTTGTCGAGTTAATTGAATCTAATGAATTCTCATGACAGGTTAAAGTTAGCTATATTGTCCAAAGAATTTAGCATAAGGAACTAATTGGATTATATTATACATCAACTTACATGTATCCACAAATCGCCATTATATTCCAACAAACTAGCAATACCTTCCATTATATTCCAACAAACTAGCGATACCTTCCATTTTATTCCAACAAACTAGCGATACCTTCCATTATATTCCAACAAACTAGCGATACCTTCTATTATATTCCAACAAACTAGCGCTACCTTCCATTATATTCCAACAAATCGTCAATGTATTTCACTAAATCAAAAATAACTAATTAAGGAAAAAATAATCGCCAAATATTCCAACAAATTTTTAATATCTTCCAATCCTCATAAAAAAAACCTCCACTAGAATCCAACAAATCGTGAATATTATTTTAGCTAATCGTAGATAACATTCCAACAAACCATTAATAATAACTCATGATAAGAGATAAAACTGCAAAGATGATGGAAGCAGAACGGAAGTAAATGACCCTTTTCACCCCCCACCCTCATCCCTTTACCCCTTACCCCTTCCCCCTTACCCCCTCCACCATCCTCCTTACCCCTTACCCTCCTATTAACACATTTTATTGACGTCACATCTTCTGATTACTTTTTTTACGACTTTGGGAGGAGATTCTTATTGTCTGACGATGACCACTGAGACGGATCATAAATGCTGATAAAAACTTGTAATAAAATGATCCGTTTTCTCTTATTGTGACGAGTTTTTTTTTTATATCCCTAACTAAGATAAATATTTCTAAGATCATTTTTTTTTTTTTAGTTTTTAGTTTATTGTGTATGTTTTTAGTGTTGGTTTTTATAGTACATACTCCTCTTCTCTCTTCCACACACACACCTCTGTATGTCCTATCACCAGAAGCCATAACTAGTGTTGTCAATATTGCAGACGGGCCGGTGTGGTTGAGGGTACCGAATGGGAGGATGGATGTGCTGGAGGGTGACGAACTGACCATCACAGCCAAAGCCGCCGCCAACCCCGGCCCTGTCACGTAAGTTCTGCCCTGGTTTGGAAATTTCTTTACTTCGTCAGGTAATTGTTTGTTTCGTTAGGTTTGTCAAGTTGGTCCTATTTTTTGTCAAGTAGGTCCTGTTTTTTGTCAAGTAGGTCCTGTTTTTGTCAAGTAGGTCCTGTTTTTTGTCAAGTAGGTCCTGTTTTTGTCAAGTAGGTCCTGTTTTTGTCAGAGATCCTGGCTTCATCAGATAATTAGATTCTGTCATCGCTGAGGAAGAATTGACTTTGTCAGGTAGATTTTGGCTTCATCAGGAAGGGGCCTTAATGTCATCAAGCTAATCCTGGCCTCGTCACCAAATATAGATTGTGGCCCTGCAAGGTAGATCTTCTCTCTTCTACAGCTCTTAATTACAGGTAGAAACTCTTAATTACAGGTAGATACTAAACTGTAGAAATACGGCCAGAAACGATGTATTGGCTACCTCAGTCGACTTACAGGTTATTGAAACATGATTACAGGTACAGCTGGTGGCGGGGGAGTGAAGAGGTGGGCGGGAAGGAGGGTAAAGACGGGGAGCTGAAACTCGGGGTCCTTCGTCGTCAGCAGACCCACAACTACACCGTCACCGCCCACAGTCCCCGAGGAACTCTTACTTCTGCCTTCTTCCTCAATGTTCTGTGTGAGTATTTATCATCATTTCCTCCTCCTCCTCCTCCTCCTCCTCCTCCTCCTCCTCTATCTCCAGCATCTATCCTCCTCCTTTTTTTCCTCAGTACACATTTTCTCCTCCTCCTCCTCCTCCTCTCATTCCTCTCTCCCCAACACCCTTCCTCCTCCCCCCCACCCCCACCCCTCCTCCTCCCTATCACCATCATCAGTATCACCATAACTATCATCATCATCATCATCACCATTATCATCATCACCATCATCATCATCATCTCTCACTATTATTATCTTTGTTCACGTCTCCCAGGATCTCATTGATCGCCCTCTACTGCACCCAGCAATTAGTCGTCCTGCAGTGATGTGAACTTCCTTAAAACCAAATCTGATTTTTTATTTCATCTCTCAGCATCCAGTGAATTCTCTCCCTCCCTACCTCTCCTTCCCTCTCTCCATCCCTCCCTTCCTCTCCCTCCCTCTCTCCCTCCCTCCCTCCCTCCTAGACGCGGGATATGTTGGTTATGCAAGGAACGCTGTATGTTTCAGGCAGAAGATATCAGAACAATGGCTTTGATGAATATTCTGCCGATCTGCCCTGACGAAGATAAGAAATACATGCTAACTGAGTCTACTTTGTGTTCTACTGAATGTGTTGCTGTAGTCATCTAACACACACACACACACACACACACACACACACACACACGAATATTGTAGTACTTTTATTTTATTTTTTTTTTGAGATAATGTTGACTTTAGGTTTTGTTAAGGGAAAGTAATTGGTGTTTGATTGCCTCTCGAGTACTGTTCTTATTAAGGGATTTTGTTGAAGCTGAAATTTTTTATTGTTGTTTACTTTTTTATTTTTGTAATATTTTGTTGTCATCTTAGACGGACCGGAAGATCTGATGACGAAGGAACAGGTTGTGGTGGAAAATGGAGGCTCGACCACCATCCTCTGCTCTGCTGTTGGCAACCCCTCACCTAACATCACCTGGTCTAGGAACGCTGACAACACCAGGTAAGCTTATAACGTTACCACTGACAACACCATTGGTTAATGTGTCAACACCACTGACAACACCGCCGGTTAATGTGTCAACACCACTAATAACACCACCAGTTAATGTGTCAGCACCACTGACAACACCGCCAGTTAATGTGTCAACACCACTAATAACACCAGCAGGTAATGTGTCAACACCACTAACACCACCAGTTAATGTGTCAACACCACTAACAACACCACCAGTTAATGTGTCAACACCACTAACAACACCACCAGTTAATGTGTCAACGCCACTAACAACACCACCAGTTAATGTGTCAACACCACTAACAGCACCACCAGTTAATGTGTCAACACCACTAACAACACCACCAGTTAATGTGTCAATGCCACTAACAACACCACCAGTTAATGTGTCAACACCACTAACAACACTACTCAGTTAACAAAATAACACCACTAACACCACCAGTTAATGTCAACACCACTCAATAACACTACCAGTTAATGTGTCAACACCACTAACAACACACCAGTTAATGCGTCAACACCACTAATAACACCAATTAGTTAATGTGTCAGCACCACTGACAACACTGCCAGGTTAATGTGTCAACACCAATAACACCTCAGCAGGTAATGTCAACAATTCACTCAACACCACCAGTTAATGTGTCAACACCACTAACACATCACCAGCACGTCAACACCACTAACAACACTACACCAGTTAATGTCAACGCCACTCACCAAATACCACCAGTTAATGTGTCAACACCACTAACAACACCACCAGTTAATGCCAACACCACTAACAACATCACCAGTTAATGTGCTCAATCACCACTCGCTAACAACACCACCAGTTAATGTGTCACCGACCACTCAATTCCACTCAGTTAATGCAAGGTCAACACCACTAACAACACCACCAGCACGTCACCACTAACAACACCACTGTTAATGTGTCAACACCACTAACACCATCTGTGCCAATGTCAACACCACTAACAACACCAGCAGTTAATGTCACACCACTCAACAACACCACCAGTTAATGTGTCAACACCAATTAACAACACTACCAGTTAATGTGTCAGCACTAGTTTTGATAACACTGCTGTTAATGTCACCATTAATAACAACAGCAGGTAATGTGTCAACACCACTTAACACCACCAGTTAATGTGTCAACACCACTAACAACACCACCAGTTAATGTGTCAATGCCACTAACAACACCACCAGTTAATGTGTCAACACCACTAACAACACCACCAGTTAATGTGTCAGCACCAACTAAAAACACCACCAGTTAATGTGTCAACACCACTAACAACACCACCAGTTAATGTGTCAACACCACTAACAACACTATGTTCTCAATCACAGAAGTAAGTTATAAGGAACGAGTGTGTTGGAACTGGGTGGTTTAGAGAGAGAGAGAGAGAGAGAGAGAGAGAGAGAGAGAGAGAGAGAGAGAGAGAGAGAGGCCTGGTACAGTAGCCTTGTATTAACTTACTCTCCTTTTAATTATATATTTCTCCCTCCTACCTTTTCTGTCTCCTTTTCCTGCCTCTCTGCCTACCTTTCCGAACTCCCTTCCCAATTCTCTCCCTCTCTCTTTCCCTCTCTCTCTCTCTCTCCCTTTATCCTTCTCTACATCCTTCCCTCCCTCCCATCCCCTCTCTCTTCCTCTCTTCACTCCCTCTTCCCTCCCTCCTTTTCATCTTCATTTACCCCCTCTTTCTCCTTTCTTTCTCCATCTTTCTTCCCTGCCCTCCCTCCCTCTTCCCTCCCTTCCTATCCCCCTTTTCTTTCTCCCCCTCTCTCTTCCGTTTCTTCCTTCCCTCTTTCTCCCTTCTTCAGCAGTGTGTTGGCGTGGGGCATTGGAGAGGCGCGCTTGGTGATGGAGTTAGCATCAAGGGGTGACACTGGCACCTACTACTGCTACGCCTTCAGCACTGTCGCCTCCATCCCTCCCGTCTCCTCTACTCTTATTGTTCAACGTGAGTGTTCTCTGTGTTCCAGTGTACATTAAAGTTTTTTCCTGTATCTTACTGTACTCTGACACTGTAAACTGTACCCTTGTATCCCAACACACACACTCTACTGTACCCTCACACACTCTACTGTACCCTCACACACTCTACTGTACCCTCACACACTATACTGTACCCTCACACACTCTACTGTACCCTCACACACTATACTGTACCCTCACACACTCTACTGTACCCAACACACACTCTACTGTACCCTCACACACTCTACTGTACCCAACACACACTCTACTGTACCCTCACACACTCTACTGTACCCTCACACACTCCCCACTGCACCCCTCACACAATATACTGTACCCCACACCCCACTGTACCCTCACACACCCATTGCACCCCACACACTCCCACTGCACCCCACACACTCTATTGTACCCTCAACACACCTACTGCACCCAACACACACTTTACTGTACCCCACACACTCCACTGTGCCTCCCACACTTTACTGCACACACCCCACTGTACCCTCACACACCCCATCAAACACACACCTACTGCACCCTCACACCCCACTGCACCTCACACACTCTACTGTACCTCACACACACCTACTGCACCTCACACACACTCTACTGTACCTCACACAATATATACTGTACCACACACTATAACAGCCCTCACACACCTCTACTGTACCACACACACTAACTGTACCCTCACACACTCTACTGTACCTCACACACTCTCTACTGTACCCTCACACACTTTTGCTTGCACCACACACCTACTGTACCCTCACACACTCACTGTACCTCACACTATACTGTATCCTCACACACTCTACTGTACCACACACTCTACTGTACCCTCACACACTCTACTGTACCCAACACACACTCTACTGTACCCTCACACACTCTACTGTACCCTCACACACTTTACTGTATCCAACACACACTCTACTGTACCCTCAAACACTCTACTGTACCCTCACACACTCTACTGTACCCTCACACACTGTACCCTCACACACTCTACTGTACTCTCACACACTGTACTAGTTAATCTCAGTCTTCTCGTAACATCAGCTGAAATCTAGAACAAATATCTTGTGTAATAAGCTTGTTCTGTTCTTGGGTTATATTCCATCATCACTCATCTCAGAGGCGCCTTGGTGGAGGAACGACATTCCTGACGAAGTTCTGGGAGGCTCGTGGGCGGCGGTGGGTGGTAGTGGGCGGGTGGAGTGTCGTGTGAGGGCAGCTCCACCGCCCACCTTCCACTGGGCGACCCAAGATGGACGAGAGATTACGTCTGGGCATAAGTACACCGTGGAAAAACCCCAGGTACTGTGTCACCCCCAGGTACTGTGTCACCCCAGGTACTGTGTCACCCCCAGGTACTGTGTCACTCCCAGGTACTGTGTGTGTCACCCCAGGTACTGTGTCACCTCCAGGGTGTCACCCTCCAGGTACTGTGTCACCCCCCAGGTACTGTGTCACCCTCCAGGTACTGTGCCCCCAGGTACTGTGTCACCCCAGGTACTGTGTGTCACTCCCCAGGTACTGTGTCACCCCCAGATTGCGTCATCCCCCAGATAGTGTCACCCCAGATAGTGTCACCCCCCAGGTAGTCACCCCCACCCCCAGGTAGTCACCCCCACCCCCAGGTAGTCACCCCGAGGTAGTGTCACCCCCAGACAGTGTCACCCCCAGGAAGCGTCTGCATTGTTTTCACTCATTCCTTCTGTTACAAACTTTTCTTATGTCCAATTCTTTCTTTTCTTTCCTTTTATTTATACAGTTTATTTATTTTTTACCCTTTTTATTTATATCTGTCATTGTTATTCTCTTTTATTTGTTCTCGCTCTCCATGTATATATATATATATGTAGCCACTATTTTTCTTCTCTTTTATTTTAGGTTTTCCATTTTTCCATTTATATATATTATTTATTGTTATTAATGTACACTTGCCAGGCTCAGGTCGTGACGTGGGTCATGTATCGGCAGGAATCAATAGCCAGGGCGTGACGTGCGAGGCTCCTGAAGGGAAAATATCGCACCAATTTACCGACCCGACAGGACTACACCATCCCGGGTCCTGTTGCGGCCAGTCTCGGCTAAATTCTTTTTCCGGGAGATTTATCGAGGTTCGAACCAGCGCCCCTCAGGTGTCTGGTGAGCTCCGGTGGCCAGAAACTGAAAAACTCACATGTATGCAGCCATGACATGTCTCGGCTGGTGAGCGTCAGGTGTCAGAATGTGATTTTCTCAAAATTTGTAAACGCATGATGTATTGTGATTGGTTCTTGTCCGCCGTGTCGTCCACCAATCAAAATTCATTAATTACACTGTCTAAATTATGAATGGTGTCACCTGTCCCCTCGCCATAACAGATCACTTACCACCAGCGAGTAAATCAAAATAAAATTCCAAATTTATTTATTTTTTTGCAAGATTGACTTAAAATAAACATTGACACGCGAAAAGAATGAAAATAACATCTTCTCCATTACTCAAGACAGATCATAAAAGGATAAAGCTCGTACACCGCAAGACGAGACGCACTACACTACATGTTTTAGGGAGTTTCAACGTTTTATGTCCTAGGTTGAACACAAAAACATAATTACGATTTTGTTTTTTGTGTCTTGGGTGACTTAAAGGGGGATTTCTAGTCACAAAACACCGCAAGGGATCATGACAACACGATCAACTTGAGTGAGGAAGAGGATTGAGGTTCTGGTGTAGTAGTATCGAACACCACATTGTTTCAGGGGCTGCCAACCTGTTATGCTCTCACCATTATTTCTCTCTTCCCGATCATTAATCTCCCTGGTCTCCCCCGGCAGCTGTCTGACGGGGTGGTGGAGTGGAGGTCGGTGTTGGAGGTGAGGGGGGTGACGGCCCGGGACTACACTCACTACACCTGCACGGCCACCAACCCCCTGGGGAAACACTCCTCCCTTCTGGCCCTCACCCCGCCCCTACCTCCCGCAACACCCCTACACCTCACAGTGAGTCCGCCTGTGTCTTATCTGGTAATTTCTCTAATGTAATAAACTTACCTAACTTTAATTTGTGTTTGTCTTTATAATAAAACTGTCGACAACATTCAGTAATTCACCCATTTATCCTGTATATATATAATCAATACTATCTAAGTCTGTTTACTGACTTGTATGCTTTCTCTTGATCAGTAACACACCAAGAAAACTAATTATTTTTTAGAGATATTTCTTAATACAAACACCTGATTCACACCTGAGGTAGGAACACCTGCTAACCGGAACCAATTAACCCGTTACCTCTCGATGCTTATCTCACGCCAGGTAGGCAACGTGACCAGTGGCCAGGTGTGGCTGTACTGGAAACCCAACCTGTCCCGCAGTGTTCCCTCGGGGTACATCGTCAGGTACTGGAAGACCGGAGACACTGAATACCAGGTAGTGTGATGGAGTACAGTGGTGATGTATTAGAAACTATAGTGTAACAAGAGTGAAGTTACAGTCTGATACAATGAAGTATAACCGGAGTATGATAATGCCGTATGTGTATAAAATGTATATGGTGGACGCCAGTGGGTCAATGCCCAACGTTCGTTTATTCTTGCAGTTTGTAAACGTGTCTGGAGGGGAGAGGACGGCAGCAGTGGTGGAGGAGCTGGCAGGCGGCACCAAGTACTCCCTAACCTTACAGGCGTACAACCTGCAGGGCCGCTCTCCCCACACCTCTCCCCCACTCACTGCTGTCACCCTCGGTAAGTGAGAGGGGAGCTTTTCTCATCACGCACGTTAACAATTACACACTTAGAGCTGGGAGAGGCTGATACCCCTACCACTCCCACTCCCCCACCCTCTCCCCCACCTCTCCCACCACTCCTCCCCCACCTCTCCCCTACCACTCCCTCCCCACCCTCTCCCCACCCCTCTCCCTACCACTCCACCCCACCCTCTCCCTCTCCCCACCCTCTCCCCTACCACTCCCCCCCCACCCCTCTCCCTCCCCCCCACCCCTCTGCCCCTACCCCCTCCCCACCCTCTCCCTACCCTCCCTCCCCCACCCCTCTCCCCACCCTCTCCCTCCCACTCCCTCCCCCACCCCTCTCCCCCACCCCTCTCCCCCACCCTCTCCCCACCCTCCCCCACCCTCCCCCACCCCTCCCCTCCCTCCCCCCCCCTCTCCCTACCCTCCCTCCCCCCCTCTCCCCTACCCTCCCCTCCCCCACCTCTCCCCACCCCTCTCCCCTCCCTCCCCACTCCCCACCCCTCTCCCCTACCCTCTCCCCTACCACTCCCCTTCCTCTTAAGTTTGAGCAATATAATTACTGTTATTACATGATGATCAGCGCATGATTAATACCCTCTCCCAATCTCCCTCCCCCATCCCCCCCACCACCTTCCTCTACCCCACGTTATGTTCCTGGTGTGACATGAGCAGTGCCGGTGAGGATAGAAGGCCGCTGGGTGACGAGAGCATTGGCGTGGGTTTGCGTAGAGGCAGACGAAGATGGTGTGAGCAGGTGGAGAGAAGACCCTAAGTTAAGGTCAAGAATAACATGCAGAGGGTGTGAAGAGCTGTCACCGGGTAACCATGGCTAAGCTAACAAGCGTAAAAAGATGGTGATGATGATATTCGATGCATTACTAACACCTCTGACCATTACCTTCCTATGCTCCCATGTTTCTGTTACTTGATGATGGAAGGAGTGTATGAAGTGGAGCCATAGTGCAGATAATACACCTTTTACTGACAGAAAGACAGAAGGGTCGACTGGATGTGACCTGCAACCCTCACGAGAGACACCTTGGTGGGGAATGAAAAGAAACTCTTCAGATGGATTGTGTCGAAGAATCACATGTGACTAATATATTAAGTCGCAGGAATCATCACCTGCAGGTGTAGCAGAGAGTGCCAGCAGCAGCACTGATGGGGACGGCAGGTCGAGGGTGCCACGACTCATTCTGCTCATCATGACGCTGGCAGGGACCGCCCTCCTCGCTCTCAACATGGCCATCATCGCCTGCTTCGTCCGACGCCGCGCCGCCCACAACACCCGGGGCGTGTCAGGTGGGTCTTACTGCCAAGGACTTCATGGTGGGTCATTGAACTTACTGAACTTACTTTAAAAGATCATGTGAAAAATAGCAAAATTACTTGACCGATAATGTTGAAGGTAGGGAGACTTAACGAGCACAACACTTTAGAAATATTGAAGAAAAAACCTCAGTACTGTACAGTACTCCTCTACGCAGCCCCAACCGTCTGTACTTGGGCCCCGAGGCTAACTTTATTTTATAGATGTTTTATAGATATTTTTGATAAACAATACATATACAGTACATGTACAGTACATAAGGCATTTACACAATTTACATCTCCGGTGCTTAGACTGATTGAGAAACAAACATAAAAGAACCTTAGCACATTATATTTTGTTGGTCGCTAAAACAACACAGTACAAGACAAAATTTGTGTTGGTCCCTCAAGCACGGGGCTTGATGCCTCACGGGGCACCTCTCCCTGTAGCTACAACTGTTTATACTCGACTATTTTCCTTGGATCTGTTGTTCACTGTTTAGCGGAGTTAATACACGCTGATGATGTTCCTGATGATGTGTGTATTTTCTTCAGCTTCCTCGAGCAAAACGACGACCCTGGAGGTGTTCAGTCCAGCCACCACCCCGGGGGGCACCACCCAGGGGGACGAGCTGCCTCTCACCACCACCACCACCACTGACCTCACCAGCACCCTCGGGGGACAGGTAACATCACCCTGTGTTAGGGGATCGGTGGTAGATGCGGTACCGTTCTTGCCTCGCAAGCGAGATGTCACGGGTTCGATTCCCTGGCCGGTGGAAGTTGTTTGGACTTACTTCCTAGCCTCCATTAGTCCCTGTTCACCTAGCAGTAAAGTAGGTACCTGGTGTAAATCGAAAGTTGCGAATTCGTATTCAGGGAGTTGTTGGAGCTTCCAATAACTTCATGACGTAAACCACTGACTCTTCAGGCTTCTACGCCCTTAACACGTGAGACATAAAGGCAAGCATGAATTTAGCATGCTTCCCTGTTGGGCGCTGTAAACGCTTCTGCGCTTCACCTTACACAAGGATGTAGGGGGGTGCCCAATAAAAAAAAAAAAAAAAAACCTGTGTTACTTTGTAGGGAAGGGCAGAAGGCCTCAAAAAAAATTTGAAATATGATAATGTTTTAACTATCGGTGTTTACATAATGTAATGTTGAGTGAGTAGATCTGTTGCTTGGAGCTTCCAGATGGGTCGAGAACATTCACGTGTTTATGGAGTAATAATATGTAAAGTAAAGTACAGTAACATGATTAACATCCCTAAATTGTTTTCCTTCGAGATATATTATACAAATTTGTTGATTGAAGCTGAAATATTTGTACTATAGAGACAACTAGTATTTTGTTTGTCTCGGTCACGTCTGCTAGTGAAGGTTATCAGGTTTCACTTGGTAGTTGATATTTGTTTACTTAAGAACATTGCTTAACGAACCTGAATCGGTGAACTGTAAACGAATGATGGACAAGAACTGAAAGTAATCACTACCTGTGACTAAACACCAATAATTGTGTATTGTTGTATAGTATTTATTAAGCAGGTGTACATTGTGCGTCTAGTTAGGTGCGTGTACAGTATGTAGAACACATTTAAGAATTCTTTTTGTGTGTTCTTTAATAAACTTATTTTAATTAGACAGTATGATTTACACCAACATCTTGTTACAGAGAATAGAGTGTCAGACAACTACGAACGACTCAGAGCAGACGAGCCTCTTCCGTGGTGAGGTGGGAGGCACTCCTGTCTTAAGCCCAGTTGACGACCTATTGTCTAACACCAACTTTAAAGGCAGGACCAGGAGTCAACAGAACGGTCGAGTCCTGACACAGAACGGTGGCCACAATGTTCAGAAGTACCGGGACGACAGTTCTTACTATTACTCCCCCATACCACAAAACAGTTCTATCTCCGGTGACGACGGGGCCACAAGGCTCACCGGCAACCCTCCTGACGTATGTCCCACCACCTCTGACAGCAGAGGAACCCTCATCCGCAGGCACCAGCAGCCACAGCAGCGAGGCACTACGACAACCTGCCCAACAGAGCTCCCGGAAGGGCCTGTCACTCAGCACGTCACCGCACACACCCACCAGCCATTCCATTCCTCCTCCACCAACAAAGAGAACGTGTCCAGACAGTCACCTGGCGACAAATGCCATGAACACCATCCTAACAACCATCATCAACAACAAATTCAAAAACGATCTTCTCCGCGAGGTGTGGAGAGGCAGGAAGCACCAAGCCAGCAGGAACAGCAGTTGGACCCGTACTCGTATCCTCACTTTGACGTTGCTGCCACTGCCACAGGTAAACATACACTTGCAAGTTCCTTTGATCTTGGTGGTGACGATGTAAATTTACTAATCCCGCCTGTGTGTGCAATGAATAGTTGTACAAACAAAATTGTAACGACAAAATTATTGTCTTTCAGTATTATCCACTGAATAATTTATTTCAGGGTAGTACAATGTCAAGTGTGTATGAAGCGTGAATGTGTATATTAGTTATCTTGTTGATATTTTCCCCGAGTGTGTGGTGACAGTAATGGTTCTTCACCACAGGAGTGCCGGGCGGCTACGCCACTGTTGGGTCCCGCAAACACCGCCACACAGCGGCAACATTCTCCACTCTGCAACGTCCAGGAACCTCGCGACCCCACTCCATCCCTGTAGGGACAGCTCAGCAGACGCCCCCTGGGCTACAGAAGGCCACCCTTCCCCAGGGGCGCCACAGTCGCCAGCAGCCTCACCAAGACTCCACGGGTCACCAGCAACTATCGCGGGCTGGTGGTGGTGGAGGCAGCAGCACGGGGGCAGGCCAGGACGACAGCGGGTCCTCAGGCTACGGTGGCAGCCCTCACCAGGAAATGAGTGTCCCCAGCAGTGTTGGTACGACTACTGTTACCTTGGGGGAGAGCGGTTCACTCCTTCCCCATATGGCCGCTGTCATCTCTTTGCCACCCAACACTTCCAGCACCACACTCAGTAGACCTCGGCCGTCCTCCCAAGACGGCGCCAGGAAGACCAAACCTGAGTTGTCTATGTTGCTCACTAGAGATCCTCACAGTGGCGGCGTGAACAAGTAAACAGTTAGTGTTCATATGTGAAGATAAACATTAAACTAAGGAATTACAAGCATAGATCTCGGACTTTATCCTGAAGTTGCTAACCTGTAAGTGAGTCAGTGAGTGATTTAGTCAGTCCAAACGGAGGATTCTACACACATTCCATACATTCATTAATTCGCTCTCACACACTCCTTGATAGTGGTTCAGTGACCCAAACTGACCTGTGTTAGAAAATTAGGGTCATGATCAAGGTGGCGAGGCCAGTGCTCTTCCTCGTCCTACAGTTGACATTCCCTAAGTAATCCAGTATTCTATCTAGTAATTTTCTTGATATTATAATAAAATGTATCAAATACTTTTGCCTGTTCAGCCATCGTCACCAACCACAGCAATGTCACTATAGTGATTTTGATGCTTCACACAGCCTCAGTGTTGGTGATGCTTCACACAGCCTCAGTATTGGTGATGCTTCACACAGCCTCAGTGTTGGTGATGCTTCACACAGCCTCAGTGTTGGTGATGCTTCATGCAGCCTTAGTATTGGTGATGCTTCACACAGCCTCAGTATTGGTGATGCTTCAACTGTGACATCAACCTTGGTGTCCAGACGGCTGGCAGGGGTCACATACTGTCTAGGAACAAGGATTGTGACGGTGATCACCTCTTAAATAAGATCAACACTACACTCTCCAGGTGACCTCAGCTCCTCTAGGTTATACTGTAAGTCTATTGAATGAGATGTGAGTTAACGTGGGCCGAGGAGACAGGTGTGGTGGTGAGCAGAGGCGAGACTCACAGCTGAAACAATCGTAGGAATTTAGATTCTGTGTGGTAAGTTTTTGGAAAAGACTCAGAGCTTCACATTAATTGTTCTTCAATGATGAACATGTGTTATGAGATACTTATTTTTATATATGGGACTGTTGTGTGTACAAATAAAACTTGTATGTCCAACCTTACACTGTGGATTTATTCAATGCCCTTTATTTCGAGTTAGTTCCTGTATGTATGAAAACATACTCTAATAGGAATAGTTCCCGACAATATCTACTTTACCCAGATAGATATACACAATATACAGTAGCGTCATATTTTGCTAAATATGAAATCTTGTATAACCAAATAAAATTCCTATTAAAAGTGGTGTCCCTGTACTAAAGGGGTAGTGGAATAACTCGGTTGTGTGGACAGTTAAGATATTATCCCTAAATAATAATAAAATCATTCCTTTTCATAGATCACTTTACGCTTCCAAAGATACTATGGTCAGGACACAGGACTGTATGCCTTGAGCGGCTGTTTTATTATTAGTATTGATGGTGGTGCTTTTTTATAATCATATTTATTTATTATTTGTTGATGTACAAATAATTATGATAAAGGAATTCTTTAGTTTCGTCGGTTTTTTGTTGTACACCGACGTTGTTCTGTTTAGGTGGTCACGAGCTCTTCGCTGGTGGACAAAGTCACCAGATTCACCACGCAGTCCGCCCGTCACCTTTTAGATTTAGCGACTCGGTGCGTACGCTAGTGTACCTGCGCTTTGAGGTCCTCAAAGTACCTTCCTAGGGTGGAGAAATGGGAACCTTGCTGAAGCAAGACTTGGCTACACTAAGCTTCCTTACTTAAAGACAAAAACGAACTAAAAAAGTAACTGAACTTGCCTAGCTTATACTACAGACGGGCAAGGGGAGATCTGATTGAAGTGTAAAAGCATCTCAGAGGGCACTACTCTGTCGAGTGTCCTTAACTGGAGCTGGTGGACTCTCGCCCCACAAGGGGTCACATCTCAAAATTAAAGAAGCCGCAAGTCCAGAAAACTGTGAGGGATAACTTTTTCGGAGTGAGGGTTGTAAACTCTTGGAACAATCTACCAGAGAGTGCTGAGACGGCACCGAGTGTGAGCTCTTTCAAGACAAAGTTGCTAAGCTTGTTCCACTCGTCCACCACCCTATTTGTGAACCAGTTTCTTCCTATCTCCCTCCTAAACCTAAACTTATCCAACTTGAATCCGTTGCTCCGAGTCCTATCCTGCTCGGATATTATAAGAACTTTATCTATATCCCCTTTATTGATTCCTTTCACCCACTTAAATACTTCTATCATATCTCCCCGCACTCTTCGTCTTTCTAGGGAATGCAAGTTAAGTTTCTTTAACCTATCCTGATATGGAAGGTTTCTAAGTCCCGGAATCATTTTTGTCATTCTTTGCTGCACCGACTCTAGTGAATTTATATCCATTCTATAATAGGGGCACCAGAACTGAACCGCATAATCGAGGTGCGACCTGACTAGCGCAAGATATAGTTGCAATAAGACCTCTGCACTCTTGTTACTTACACTTCTAGATATAAAACCCAATACTCTGTTTGCCTTATTTCGAACATTAACGCACTGTTTTCTAGGCCGTAGGTCCGGGCTTACAAGTACCCCTAGGTCTCTTTCACAAGTCGACTTCTCTAGGTTGATGTTGTTAAGGCTGTATTCATTATAAGTATTTGTTCTTCCAATATTAAGTACGCTGCACTTGCTGGTGTTGAATTTCATTTGCCATTTTTCAGACCACCCCTGCAGTTTATTTAGATCCTCCTGTAATGCATTTGCATCCTGCCCTGAATTAATTTGCCGCCCTATTTTGGTGTCATCCTCAAACTTGCTTATGTCACTGCTGATCCCAGTATCTAGATCGTTTATGTAGATTATGAACAAGAGTGGGCCTAGTACTGACCCCTGGGGAACCCCACTGGTTACACGGCCCCACTCAGATTTTACACCATCTACGCTGACCCTCTGCGTTCTATCGGTGAGCCATGATTTTATCCAATTTAAAACTTCCCCTCGATACCATGAGCCTTAATTTTTCTCAGAAGCCTCTGATGCGGTACTCTGTCAAACGCTTTGCTAAAGTCTAAGTAAATAACATCGTAATTTTCGTCATTATCTACTACCTCGAAGACTTTCCTAAAAAACGTTTGTGTACCCATAATAAGAGAATTGACAACTCGCCACATACAGTATGCCACAGGGCCATGATTAACGTCAACATGATACGCTATTTCCTGTGAGCTTATGTTACAACATTTGTGTTTGATAAATGACATGTTTGTTTGTTTTATGAGTGAGAAACTGAAGATTACTTTAATAAGAAAAAGATACTTTCATTTGGTAGTTTAGTAGTTTTTATATTATTTGGATATAATATGTTGGCCTGAAGGTGTACAGTAGTTATGTTTACAAAAAATTGATTCTCAGGACAAAACAGTATTGGTTAATTATATCGGTTTAATTATAGCATTGATAAGAAGTAATAGTAGCTGTAGTGATATATTATAATAATATTATATACCTCTATAACGAGAACAGGTACTGCTACTACCACTAATAATAATAGTAATAATAATAATATTAATGAAAGGAAAGCACTAATAACGATACAACTAGGTTAGTTACTGCAATAACTATATCCTTTATATACGTAATTTCTAACTTTGTGAAGATAATTTGTTAATTTATAAAGGTCGCTATTAATCTATTATGATGATTTTTTAATTTGAAAAGGTGATTTGTTGATTAATTAAAGACGCCATGTAAGTTTGTAACGCTAACTTGATATATATAATAAGTGAAATGTAATAAATATTGAGAATATATGAGCTAGACACACACACACACACACACACACACACACACACACACACACACACACACACACACACTACACACACACACACACACACACACACACACTACACACACGTCATCTCGGCTGTATAACTTTGTACACTTTTCTCTCTTGCACAGTTTCATTGCCCTAAGACACAACACAGATGGAGAATAGAGAGAGAGGGCAGTTGATGGGGTCTGAGAGATAGAGGTGGGATGCAAGAGAGAGAGAGAGATAAGGAGAGGTGGTGTAAGAGAAAGTGGACGATAAAGAGAAATAGGGTAAGATTGAGAGAGGAGGGGAATAAAAAGAGAGGAGGGGAATAAAGAAAGAGGAGGAAAATAAAGAGATGTGGGGGAATAAAGAAAGAGAAGGAGAGGAAATAAAAGAGAAAGGAGAAACATACTCTAACAGGTTCATGTCGCAGTAAAAGCCATATACAAACTATTTTCACTACTGTGCGTTGATCCTCTGTCAACCATGGTGGCTTCTACAGGATGGTTGATGATGACTCCGTAAAGGCTGTTCTCGCTCTCGTGATGGGACTGCAGCTCGTCTAAGCTCATCCTGTCATCCGCTTGTTCGTTCTGCTGCCCAGGTCGTAGATGGGTCTTGACACTTCCTGAAGACCAACACAGCATATTAGTTGTCATCCATATATCTCACTCGATCCTTGTAAACAAACACGTCACGTCATTATCTACACACTTGATATATAGGTGAAAATTTATCATCAAAAAACAGAAAAATGTTGGTCACAATCTTCTGACGACTTAGCAACACCAAAAGGAAATTAATAACTTATTACGTTGTATAAATTATGAATGTTGTTGGTTCTTAACGGCCTGGTGTTTTAGATATTTTTCAAGACAACTGATGACTGTAAAATGAGAACCATATCTTTATATACCAATGGAGGATAAATACTGATGCCTTTTTTATATTCATCTTTATTATTAATTGATGAAAAACAGGTGTTGCATCTTTGTTTACCGATGAAAGAATAATATATACAACGTTTGTGTCTGTTAATTAGTAACACTGTGTATGTTTATTAAACTGATGGAGAGATTGTTGGATTATAATACAGAACATTGTAACAGACCTCCAGCTCCACCAACAGTACTACAGGAGATAAACTTAAATGTTTTCCTCACCAAGAAAGACATGTCATTTCTGAAGAATAAATACTGACTTCATCAACCGTGCGAAACTACAAAGGCTTTAAATATAACTTATCGTAATCGGTTATATTCAACTATGACTAATAATTGTACTTGATAGTTTATAAAAGTGTTTTACTGTACTAACATGGGAATATATTGTACTTACGTCGTCTTAGGCAAAGGATGATCAAGATGATAAATATGAAGGCAGCGACACTGAACACACCAATCAATATGTACTTAATGGGATCAGGACTGTGGAGGCTACCGTCGTGTGGAAGAGACGGGAGCTGTGGAGTAGGGAGAGACGGGAGCTGTGGAGTAGGGAGAGGCGGGAGCTGTGGAGTAGGGAGTGGGGAGTCCGTTCCTGCTGTGCTGTATGTCATATTGGTCGAGGTGAGGCACTCAGTGTTTGGGGCGCTGTATTTCCAACGAGAATTGCCTTTAGCCTTTACTACTATGCTCCAGAACCAGTTCAAATAATACAGATAAGAGCCTCGTTGCGACACAGGTGGAGAGGAGTCCACCTTGACTCTAAAGCTCCATTTGTCTATTCTGTCTTTGTCATGGTACACACTGACACTGAGTTTATACAACCTTAACTCGTCGATACCGAGTTTGTCCTTCTTAAACTCTACTGATTCAACACCGTTGTTTACTGTCAGTATTACAGCGACACTCTCAAAGCCTTCCAAAGGAAAAAAATAAAGATCGATGTTCATTCTCTCTACTTCAGCAACTTTCTTCCAGGACCGAGAGGTAACATTAACATCGTAATTACATTCACTTTCGCTCCTCCGCGGAATTATGCGTGGCAATGACTGAGTATATTCAACTTGGCTATCACTTGGTCGTTCGTCGTTTCGGATGTTCTTAGGTGGTGGGCGTGTCGTGGATGGACTCTCAAAACTTCTCGAGTTGAACGATGATGAAAACGTGAGGACCGGGGGCGAGGGGGAGGAGAGAAGAACCGATGGGAAGAGAACCATCACACACAGAGTCACGAGCGTCATCATGACCCTCCACTCTCTCTGACAGTCACTGGAAGTCTTGGGGGGAATTTCAACAAGTAATTTGTATACAACCAACTTTGTTAACTCCAGGGGATATCCTGTCCCCCCCCCCCCAACCACATAAGTCGGTTCATATCTGGAGCTGACGGATGTCTACCTACAAAAGGTCACCGTTAGAAGTTGAAGAAGCCACAAGTTTAAAAAATTGTTTGGACAAACTTTCTCGGAGTGAGGGTTGTAAACTCTTGGAACAATCTGCCAGAGAGTGTTGTGACAGCGCCGTGTGTGAGCTTGAGGGGTACGTTATGTTGGGATCACTCAGGATGGGATGGAGAAAGGAAACTCACAATGTGCTCTCTGTATACATGTTGTATTGGATGTACAATGCAGCTTGATGCTGGGAAGGCAGCATGGTTACAAGCGTTGAGTAGAGAGAGCTGGTTGGTGAGGGTGCTCAGAGGAGAACAAGCTTGTGGGTCGCCATGCTCGCCGGCAGGAGCGAGGACCGCCAGGCAGGCGGAGGAGGAGGAGGTGTTGCTTGTTGGTTGGTGTAGGCCGAAAGAGAGCGGTCACCACGAGGTCAGGTCTTGTATAGCGGAGGTAGGCGTAGTTGACCTCTGTCATGTAAGGCGGCGCTGGTTGACCTAGACCACGAGGCATAAATACACTGGGGAATTCGCGGGATCGGCTACTCGGCGACAAACAGCGTTTGTAGGGGAAGGATCCACTACAAGCTCATTCAAGACTTGGCAACACTGGCACAGGCTCAGACTTCAGATCAGGGCTACCTTTTTTAAGGGTATTCGTCTGTTACGTCATCTGCTAATGACGTTTACGGATGCCGTGACGTCAGTCTTCCGGAAATACGGAAATTTGATATATTTGTCTAATTTCTTGTCAGACAATGAATAAATATTAGTAAGAATAAATTACAATGCTTTTTCATTTATACCCATATCAAATATAATGTGAAATTAGAATTTGTTAGTCTGTGTGTGACGTGTAAAGTAACCGAAATGGTGAAGCCAAAAAGTGCGTGACAGAGACGTGACCGATCGCCCGGGCGGCTAGCGAGCCGACCTTTTGGTGAAGAGGATAAAAGTAAAAAGTAAAAACAAGGGAGGTCCAGTCTGTCCGTGTTCTTGTACAGTACAGTTATTTCCTAATGCCTTATTCCGCTGAACTTGAAAACCAAGAATCTTCAAACAACCTTCAGAGTTTTGGTAAGTTAATATTTGATTGCTCAAAAATTTTCAGGAGTTATTATAAATTCATTAATTCTTCATAATAAATAGAAAAGTTAACCATACAATATATACATATTTTCTTCTTTTCTTAGAAAATGTGCTTCTTAGTTAGGAGGGATAACTATATCAGATTTTGTGTGATAGTGATATTGTGATATCCTGCAATGGAACTACTGTACTGTACTGTACCTCCACAGTAAAAGTGAATGTTCATTACAAAATACTTTGAAACGAACATTTTCCTTACAGGAGATTTTGTGGTGTAGTTCTCATAGTTTTCTGAACTTGCGGCTTCTTCAATCTTGAGCTTTGACCCCTTGTGGGGCGAGCGTCCGCCAGCTCCAAGTTAGGACACTCGACAGAGTAGTGCCCCTTGAGATGCTTATACACCTCAATTAGGTCCCCCCTTGCCCGTCTGTAGTATAATCTAGGCAAGTTCAAGCGCTCCAACCTCTCAGGGTAGCTGAGGTGCCGAAGTGCAGGCACCAGTCTGCACTTTCAAGCTATATACGTATCTATCCAGCTCTGTTCTTAGTTTTGACAAATATCCATCACAACATAATAATGAAGACCCTGTGTGTGGTTCTGATACCTTATTACCTACAGGAAAATAATAAGGATTCTGGACCCTTTCAGAAAATTACTCGTCATATTTCTCTTGTACCTTACTACTGGACAGTAAAATCTGATACCATATAGTACCCGTGTTGTCTACAGTATACAGGCACACACATGATGAACTGTATATTTTCATAGTCGCTAATTATACTCGCTAATCCATTTATAAGCTTGTTTGATGATTTAATTGATTAACTCTTATTATTATTATTATTATTATTAAGTTACTTTCCAGTCTTTTTTTCATCCCTTATACAGTGGAATGACAATTTCACATTTATATATTAATCTTATTCATGTTATATTCCATGGTATTTGTGGTAAATTCCCAATAAAATTAAACCAAACTTGTGCCATCAACCTAAATAGACTTTAGCCTTGTCAATACTGTATAGTGTGGAGTATATAAATCTATTGACTAAATGTTTGCCGATGACGCTAATTTATTTCGGGAAATTATGAACCATGCTGACTGTGAAGAGCTGCAGAAGGACCTCTGTGGGCTCCAGGAATGGTCGAAGGAATGGCTGCTGAGGTTCAATGTCACGAAGTGTAAGAGGATGCACCTGGGGCGTACCAACGGTAAGGAGGCGTAGCATATGTCCCAACGGGATGAAGAAACTGCACTAGTTGAGACTGTGTTTGAGAAGGACCTGGGTGTGCATGTTGACAATGAGCTGAAGTTCTCGGGCCATTGTGAGAAGAAGGTAAATCAGGCAAATAAATTATTGGGTCTTATAAGAAGGTCGTTCAGATATCTAGACGGTCCGTCCCTCGTGACGATCTTCAGGAGTGAAGTGCTTCCCCATCTGGAGTACTGTCACCCCATCTGGTCCCCGAGATATGCTAGGGACTGTCAGTTGGTTGAAAATGTTCAAAGGAGGGCCACCAAACTGGTGCCTGCACTTCGGCATCTCAGCTACCCTGAGAGATTGGAGCGCCTGAACTTGCCTAGCTTATACTACAGACGGGCAAGGGGGGACCTAGTTGAGGTTTATAAGCATCTCAGGGGGCACTACTCAGTTGAGTGTCCTTACTTGGAGCTGGCGGACGCTCGCCCCACAAGGGGTCACAGCTCAAGATTGAAGAAGCCGCAAGTCCGGAAAACCGTGAGGGCAAACTTTTTCGGAGTGAGGGTTGTAAACTCTTGGAACAATCTACCAGAGAGTGTTGTGACGGCACCGAGTGTGAGCTCTTTCAAGAGAAGACTTGACCAACACTGGAGCGGGTTCAGGTACATTCAGGAGCCGGTGCATGCCCAGTATTTGCCAACAGTGCGTGACAGAGACGTGACCGATCGCCCGGGCGGCTAGCGAGCCGATCTGTGGTGAAGAATATAAAAGTAAAAAAGTGTGATTTAAATTCATGGCGTTAAACCTCAAGCCTTAACCCACATACCACACCTTTTAAAAGTATTTAGTTCACAATTCTTTTTTACTTAAAACCATATCAACCATCAATAATATTATAGAAGAATCACTTAAATATGATTATATTATTATTCTCTATAGTTAAGTGATTATATATGAGTTGTTTATAGAGAGACATTATTGACCTAGAGTGTTTGTTATGGCCTCAGCTGATCCCCGGGTCAGGGGGACACTAAGTTAACGTTTGTCAAGTTCACTCCGCTTATATTCCTTTTATCCGCTAGTCACCGCATTTACCGAACTCTCAGCTTACTGATTTTGTGGTAAGTAAAGCAAAATGTAACTAAATATTATGATACCATGAGTTTTAACGTGAAGGAAGATGGTAGAGTAGTACAGTACCTAATAGCCACTCATATTCTTGAGTTTTATAGATACTTTATTTTGTACGTTATTCCAGAGGTTTTACTTGAGTATCAATTAGTACCTGGAAAAAAAAAGTTATGAATATTTAACTGAGATGAAAATTTTATTACTGTCGAATATTGGAAAAAATTATGGTAAAATTAGTGTTTCTGTCATCCTTATGTTTTTCAGACGGTCTTTCCTAACCTAATTTACAACCTAACCCCTAACCTAACCTACAACCTAACCCCTAACCTAACCTACAACCTAACCCCTAACCTAACCTACAACCTAACCTACAACCTAACCTAACCACGCAACCTAGGAACTATTATCTAACCTAACCTAAATTCCTAAGATTCCCTAGATGACTAAAACGATAATAAATACCAAAATAATAATAATATACAGGAATAATTAGCACAGAAAAAAATGACACACATCTTTGGTTAATAATTTTACTTTGTTTTTGATACATTTGTCAAATTAGGAAAATATGCCACTAAACAATTTGTGGTCAATCTTTTGTAGTATTGTAGCCATCCATGTAATTATAGGTCAAGGAGATGGTTAGCACATGCAGTCATGATTATAGTGTCATATGAGCAGGTTTTTGCCTTGTTTTTATCTTATATCCCTAATTCTTCCTGTCAACTATAGGTGAATTTTTAATCATAGGGAAAGAAATAATTAAAATAAAATATTGTTGTATCGATTTTATTACTTAATGCCTTCCAAAAATAAACTGGGAAAAATATGAACGAAATCCACAAACTCCTGGTGCTAACTTTTTATTCCACTATTACCAAACTTTATATTGATTCTTATACATTTTGCTATGAGGAGATAGAGCAAAAAAATAAAAAGTACTGTACTCTATTATACTTTATTCCGTAGCATTTCTATTGAGAATTTATAGTTTTGAGTTTTTTTTTTAACTCTTTTATGACACAACCAGCCAAGAATACTGACACAGCTCTTGCATCAGGCCTTAGGCTGCGGCCGCACTGAGAGCGGGCGGGGACAGGAGACTTTGCAGCATTGTAACCCATGGACGTGGCTGCGCGAGCTGGCAACAACACGTGCCCGCTCTCGGTGCAGCCGTGGTCTTATACAGTACAGGGGTACTGGCACCGCTGCTTTCTTTATAAGGCAACAGCCAAAAATGTTGTTGTCTGTTAATATAATCTTGTATTATGATGTTAAAGTGTTTTATTTTTGATATATTAGGAAAGTAACATTGATGTAGTTAATTAAGGTAATCATATACAGTACAATGAAATAATGCTGCCATACTGTATATTTAAAACAATGATAGAATAATAGGCAGTAGGTATTTGATAGCTGCACAAAATGTCCTGAATATAAATTATGTAAACTGAATATTTCTGGGAATGTACAGCAATGCTGTGATTGTTAATTGGTTGAGAAGCTGTGATAATTATATTGTGCTCATATACAGTATGTTAGAATTTTTCTCATACTGTACAAAATTTTTTAATCAAACTCAGAGAAACCAGTCTCATAGGTTCTGAGTCATGCTGCTTGGTTATATTTTTAATATTATTATTTTTGGGGAAGGAAAAATATATTCAAAGTTATATTTTATTACATATTCATATTTGGTGTAACTTCATCGTCCTCGGGGGTAGTGTAGCGAGGGCGACGACTCCCAGGCCTGTTGGTAGTGGTGGCAGATTCATCGTGGGGATATCACTGTACAGTACTGAATTATGGTACCACTCCTGTATGGCATACAGAGAGGTTTACACTTGTCACTACAATGGGAAAGAAAATTTATACTGTATATCAGAAGTTCCAGGATCAATGGCTCTTAAGTGATAAAAATTACACTTCTAGAGAAAATAGATCTTTGTTCTAGAGTTTATTAATTTCCAAGATGGCTCCCCTAACATATGAACTTATCCAAAGAAGTTGTTGAGAGGCCACCATACACTATACCATGTACTGTAATCTTCTATGGCAGCATCTTGGTCAACACTAACCATCTTATGACATTTTTGGCTACAAACCTTATAGAACCTTATGTTTTATGCATCAGTTCCCATCATAAAAGTGTCCTAGACCTTCACTTTTCCAAAAACAAATTATTCTGTGAAAGTTCTGAGATGTCTGTCATTACAGATAGTATCTGCCATCTTGACAGATATTCCATTTTATACCAGAGGGATGAAACATGTGATCCAAAGCTCTTTCCTGCCATGACGGGTTACCGTATTGGCAGGAAAATATGAAGGGTGAATGTGTAGCTCAACTTTAAGACACCAGGGTTATTCTCACTGACCATTTGACTCTGTTGTCACAGCAAGCAAGAATTGATTGTGCTGGATGAGTATCTGTTTATGCATCAGTTTCACTAATCCTACTGGCTGGATGCTGACCCTGCACATCACAGTCTTCCCTTCTTCCAGACAATAAGATTTGAAACTCTAATGCTTTGTTTTTCTTATATTTACATACAGGGACAGTACTTGATATAGAATTACCATTTTCAGATATTTTGCAGCTAATTTCTCCCTCCAAGTCCTCCAAGATGGGGAATGTAAACAAATCAATGATGGAAGTTACTCGTAAGAACCAAGAATTCATGTTAGAGACTCAGCGGGTTCAAGTGAGGATGATCATTGTTATTATACTGTATTTATTTCTTGTGATTTATGGACTCATAGCTATGCACTACCTTATTATGTCTTAACTTGAGCACCCTCAAAATTTCGATTGAATTTAATTACTGTAGTTACTTAATTATTCTTGTGATGAATGAATTTAATTGCCTTTTCAATTCTTGTGATGTTGAATAATATTGTCTTACAGCCATCCACAATTGAGAAGAAAAATTATGAATCTGTTGAATTATTAATCTCATTAGGGGTAAGATACGAGTTTAAAATTCATTGGTAATTATTTTTACAGCTGGAAAGACAGATCCACATGCAGAATGAAATGCGTGAGAAAATGATGTCAATGCAAATTGCAAGATCCAGAGAGCTGTTGTATTGGTTTGGGACATTTTATGCTGTTGCTGCCATAGGAATGGTGACTGGGTAAGTTGTGGTTCTCAACACATTCTAAAATGCCTTAGTGTAATGTAACGTAATTTATATATATGTAGTAACTACATGTAATCTGAATGGTAATGAGAAAGCATAAGTTGACGATAACAGAACATGGGAAGCCAAGAAATTGTACCTGGAGATGGATGCTTATGGGTCACTATGCAGTACAGTATTATACTGCTAAGTGAAAAAAACCCTATAAAGTAGTGTACAATACAGTACATTGTATGCTGGTACAGTATGTGTTATACAAATTGGATTCATTATTAAAAGATTATACTGTAATTGCATTGACTTATAGATGATTGCGTACTCAAGACAATTGGTATTTTCAGTGGGGGAATTTCATTGTTTAGCTGGTGTTATAGCCAAAGGTTGCTGTACAGCAGTGATGGTAGGCTGCTTGTTATTGGCTTTACGAGTGGTTCTGTAAGCATGAACAATGTTTCTGAGGATTTTTGTTACATAACATTGATTTCTTTATATCATTAACTTTATGGACATTTGAATTATACTGCACCTGTTTTCCTATTTACTTTAATATCATTGATCAGGTCAGATTAGTGTACATTTAGTGACATTTGTTGTGTTACATACATAATAGAACCTTAGGAAAAGAATACAGAAGTAGATTGAAAGTTTTAGAAAATACAGGTTGTACCTCTCTAGTCCGGCATTCTGTGGTCCGGAACGATTTTAGTTTGTCCAATAGGTAGATAGGCAGCTTTTTTTTTTTTTTTTTTTTCTTTACTTATTATTATTATTATTATTACAGGAGTATTAAATTTTTGCCCCTCAGGCCCCAATGTGGGTCAGTGACCTATGCCCGGGTGGGCTAATCCCCTTAAAAAAAAAAAAAGCCGCGGGAAATTAAGGTTTGTTTACATCCGGCAGTTCGGCTGCACTCTCTCTCTGCTTGTCTATACAGAGTACAACATTTAACCCTTCAATATATATGAGCAGTAAATAAGTGTTGCTTTCATATTCTTATGTAGAGTAATGACGATATATTTTCACATGTGCGCACTTACATACGAGCAGTCTCACTTTTTTTTTTTACCATTAATGGTTAGCTACTTATATTGTTCCATTTATTAACATTAAATAACATTACAGGTACTTCAAGCAACCATATTCATTTTTTACATTAATTTTACTACAGCTAAACTGAGGATCTTATTTTCTTCAGTTTTATATGTAGAACCAATCAGTCACTGGTTTCGTAAGCTTTAACATAAACAATGCCGGCAGCCGTCTCGTTTCCTCTAATATTCCACGTATTATTAATAAATTGTATTGTTAATTTTGCACACACGTACATTAATTCAATAAAAACAAATTCAGAAACATTAATTAAAATATATATGAACAGTAAATAAATGTTGCTTTCATATTCTTATATAGAGTAATGACAATATGTTTTCACGTGTGCGCATGCGCACTTACATACGCGATCTCTCTTTTTTCTTTACCATTATCGTAAGCTACTTCTATTGTTCCATTTATTAACATTAAATAACATTACTTAAAACAACCATATTAATTTTACTACAGCTACAACCAAGGTCTTATTTTCTTCAGTTTTATATGTAGAACCAGTCAGTCACTGGTTTTGTAATCAACAAAAACAATGTTGTGTCATTTCCTCGTGTGTTTTAATATTCTACGTATTATTAATGAATTTTACTGCTCATTTTGCACACATAAACATTAATTCAATAAAAAAGACATTCAGTAATAAACAATAATGAATCTTTTGTACATAAGAGAAATGACGCTGTTTACACGATTATGCACGTCGTCTGCACGTTGGCGGGCCGTTGAAACCCGTCGAAATTCAAGTTTCTGCCGTCAAAATTTTTATTTATTTATTTTTTTGTGTGTTGTTCCAATAAAATACGTTAAGAATTAAAAACTCGCGAAATTTGAGAAGCTACTATATGACATTTAACCCTACAATATGTCTTCAAAGAGACCATGACGCAGAGAAAGTGGTGCTAGTGCTTCCAGGCATAAGCACAAGTCACTATCTATCCAGGAAAAGGGTGAATTTCCATGGTCCGGCAATTTCCATGGTCCGGCACCGGTCAGGTCCCGAGGTTGCCGGACTAGAGAGGTACAACCTGTACCTTGAAACTGTGATGAAATTTATTGATAACTACTGTATACCCCTCCTGTATATTTAAAGTGAATCAGAACCTCAACAATTTTGCATAGGAATTAATGTGGACAGCTCATAAGAGAGATTCTCATGTTCTAATTCAGGCAAATTTATACAAATACAGACATGAGTATAAATTAAAGATGATACAGTGGGGTATGCTATAACGAACGCAATTGGTTCCAGAACCTCGTTCGTTATAGCATTCGTTCGTTATAGGATTAATCCGTTCCAGGCCCCCAAATACAACCGCTTAACACTGAAAAAATTCTGTGGAAAATGTAAAAAATACGGTACTTTATCTTACCTTAGTGTTATTCAGCATGCAGGTACCCCTAAACACTGGCACATCACTATCACTTCCACTGGGAGTCTTGGCTTTAAGGTCCTCAAACAATTGTTTAGCCTTCTCACAAATTATAGCTTCACTAATGTTACCACCTGCCATTTCTTTCTCCTTTATCCACACTAAGAGTAAATTTTCCATCTCTTCAATCACATTACACCTTGCTTTGCTAAGTCTAAAGATTCCCTTAGCCACTTGCACAGTTTTTAACTCCTCTTTATTCTTCAAAATCGTACATATAGTCGATTTAGCCATCCCATATTCATCACTAAGTTTCGCAATGCTTCTTCCATTCTCACGTTTCTTTATAATTTCTTTCTTAGTTTCAAGGGTTATTAGCTTTCTCACTCGCTTTGGACGACTCATTGTTACAATTGTATACTTGTATAACAAAATACAGTGATCCCTCGGTTAACGAACGCCTCGGTTAACGAAATTTCGGTTAACGAACTGCCTTCCATAAGAATCTTCAATTCGGTTAACGAACAAAAATTCGGTTAACGAATTTCTTACGAACCGACCTCAACATGTTTTCGCTTGCACTGGCCGGGCAACCAGCTTTAGTATCAGTCCGCCAATACATTAATTGGTTCAAGGGCTTAAATTCCTTACCATTTTAGTAAATATCTAGAAGTTTATACTATTCAATAATTTTAAAAGTTTAATATTCAATTTTTTAGTCATTTTAACAATTATTGAACATAATTGAAGGTAAAGTGACTAGTTTAATGCGCGGCATCCAGCTTCTTAACACAGCAAACAGGCGTTAGTCTCTCTCTCTTTTCACTGGAGGTAACATCTTGCTTGAGACTCTCTTCAACTAAACGCTTTTTTTCTGTGTTTCCAAGCAAATTATTGGTCATTTTGAAATATATTTTACATATTGACAATATATAATGCAGTGCAGTGTTGATTTAAAGAAAATAATCTTGAAATACCACCAAGAGAACTAAAATTTTATGGGTGAAATGGTGCCATGGGGTGACTTCTCTTCCACCCCAATGCCTTCTCTTCTTCCTTCTCCTCCACCCCCATTCTAATTCCCATCATCATCATCCAGGAGCCTTCTACATACACACCTCAAAGTAAGTGAACTTTTCTACCATTTTTGTTGAATTTAGGAAATTTTCGGTGAGCTGGAACCACTTACCCAAAAACCCATTGAAACAATGGTTTCGGTTAACAAACTTTTCGGTTAACGAACAACCTGCTGGAACGTATTGAGTTCGTTAACCGAGGGACCACTGTAGTTATACAAATAACGCGAATTTCCACATCAAAAGACGAAATTTCAACAATAACAGTGGTGCACTGGCTACACAATGAGACAAAGATGGCGCCTGACGCTCTTGTTGTGGGTCGCGGTACAACAATATTCATGCGCCAGGCGAAATAGTCCGGTATTCATCCGCGTTCGTTGTAGGAGTTGCGTTCGTTATAGCATTCTCAATTTTATAGGTAAAACCGTTCGTTATAGGAATATTCGTAGTAGGATCCGTTCGTTATAGCATACCCCACTGTAGTGATAATACAGTCCAAAGTAAATAATTTAAATTTAATCGATACTTTTTGTACTGATTTCTATAGGTTGTGATTTCCTGGGCCATTATTATCTGCTTAGGTGATATTGATGGTGTAATAAAAGAGAATATAGTTTAGTCTTTGATCTCCAATATTCAACATTAAGGCCAGAGCAGTTCAGATGTTCTTTACAGAGATCTTGCCATAGTGTCACCATCACCATTACATATTCATTTCAGGTTCCGCCGCACCAAGAAACCTGGCACACTTGTTCCCCTGCTTCCTCTCACCTTCATACTAGCATATCAGGCAGATCTGGCATATGGCTCAAAGCTCAACAGGATTAAAAGTAAGTTTATGTGAAAGTTATTCATAAAGCAAGATGGATCAATACTCTAAACTATATTAAAGAGAGAATGGGATGAGATAAGGGGTTGAAGAGGGCAAGGGAGAGACATATTGAAATAATAGTATGGCCTGGTGTCATCTTTTGGGTTCATATTACAACACAAATGGCCATAGAACACTGGTGATGAATATAACAAGCTATCTTACTAGTTTCAATGGATGATAAATTTCGGTTCAATTAAAGTACTGGTATTAGTGTTACATATAAGGCAAAATATTCTTTAATGTAAAGTGCTATAAGCAGATCCACACAAAGTATACTAATTCTATATATTTCAAACAAAAAAATGTGAATCTTGTATCAGTTATGAATATAAGTTGTATTTACTAATAAGTTGAGCCTCTGCTGATACAAAAGTCAATCAAACTGCCAGAAAAGTTATCAGATATAGCTAGTACTGTATTGTACTGTAACAGTACTGTGATTCTCATCCAGTGATACATAGTGAAGCCTTGATATATCACTTTTTTGCACTGGATATGTTTTGTATAATCTTGCTAACAGACCTACAGTATATGAGAGAGATGTGGATGGATGATTATACAAATGTAAATCAATATGCAACTTTTATGAGTATATAAAAATTATCACTATCTACAACTGGGAATTTTAGTCACCTTTATTGGTAATTTTTTTAATTAATTATTCTTTGGTGCACAGTACAGTACTGATATATACTATTTACTTTACAGTGGAGGCTGAGAATATCATTATATTTGAGCGTGACCTGGTGTCCATCCCCATGGGCGTCCCGACCCCCGCTTCAATCGATGAGGCTCGGGAGCGGCAGGAGGAGACTAAGCGACTTAACAAGGTTCATGAAGTATTCATTTAGGTTGATGATTGGTTGTTGATTCTTGCTAACTGCTCATTGACAAATTTAATCCTAAAATGAGATAATGTTTATTTGTTATATTGTTTTATTTATTTATTTTTAGCAACAGGTAATGTACCATAATGTTGGTTATCTTTTTATTTAAATTTATACTGTATCGGTAATTAATGAAGGATGCATTAAAATCCCCATAATTAAGACATTTAAGAAGTCATAACACAGCTCCTGCAGTCATAAAGTGACTATCAGTGATACTAAAAGTTAACATTTATCTTTAAATTATTAAATAATATGATCATAGTATGTACTTGTCCATTATTCCAGTTCATAGCCGGCTCAGTATTATTTTTCATTTTAAGTTGTTTTATCTACATTGAGGCTATTGAAGCAAATTCTTTTAATACAGTTCCTCAGCAACAATTTGTAACCAGCCATTTGAGCAAGTTCTTACTGACCCTGTGACTGATGCTGGCTTGATTAAGTGTCATCCAGTGTTTAAGTTATATTCTCATTCACTAAAGACTTTTCTAATCTTATACAGTTATACATTTATACAATTATACATTTTTAACACTCATTAATATATGTCAATGATATAGTCTTCATGTGTCCAGGAACGGTATGAAAAAATAATAATCATACAAACATTCTGAACAAGTTTATGAATGTTTGAAGAGTGCAGTCTTAACTTACTGATTCTTGTATAAAAGATCACATATTTCTTTTTAATTTAAACCCTGTGAAGAAAACCAGGGAGACTTGTTCTTGAGAAGTCTGTCTTTGATGGCGGTTCCGTACTTCTGATATTTTAATGTGTTGCCATTTATTCCACTCGGTTCGTACCTGGGCTGACTTCTTTCATTGGTACCATCTTTTCTGTCACTAAACTGTAAAGGCTGACAAGGCTTAACTCTTCAGATGTAGTCGGAGTTTTTGATAGTTTGTAAGTGACAGACTATTGAAGACTCGTCGTTCATGTGTTTGGGTTTATATATATCTTCTACTGTATGTTATTGTATATACACACACTGATATAATTTTTTTATGTTTATTTTATTGTTTTTTTATGAATTTTATTGCTGAAGTTTTTTGTTTGTTTATATTTTGTTTTATCTGTTGCCCCTTTAACTTATTTTTATTTTTTTTTACGTTACTGTTGGTGCTACTTAGTTAGGAAGAAGTTACATTTTAGGCAGCTTTCCACCATCATGTTTAAGATATGAACCAATTGTTCTTCGCCTCAGAGCCAATTTTAATGATGAAATAACATGCCATGATGTTGTGTGTGTGTGAGGAGAGGAAATTACTCACTGCCATTTTACAAGCAGTTTACCATCAACCTTCAGAGTTCCTCACCTGTTGATCATACATGCAGTTTGATACATTATATGGCATTAGTTTTTAATATAAATCACTGGTAATTCCAATGATTATGTATATATTTAGTGAGAAATGTATATACATTATGTTGTTGAGGTTTTACAGTATGACATATATGATAATAAAATCAAGGTAGAATCATTTTATTACAGCATTAATAAATCACTTGCATATTGTATTAATTTTACATAGAATACAGTACAGTATTTCAAATTATGATATTTCTTGCATAAATTATACTCTGCTTGTTTTTGTTGATATAAGTCTCTGTTTTTAGTCCAATTATATTTTAATTTTTAGGTAAGATGTGATGTATATTCTTTTTAAAATTCTTGGAATTTTAACTTATGTGAGAAATATTGTCATGTATTTTATAAATGAAAGAGGGGTGGTAGAAGGAGGTAGTATCCCATCCAGCCAGGAGGATATACTCACTTATTTTTCCTGTTTACTGTACTATAGTCTTTCCTGTGAGGCGAAAAAGTGGTACAGTACCCCTATTAAAAAAGTCAAATCCAAAGGAGAACAAATATAATAGCAACATTTGTAAACTGATCGTATAATTAAGAAAAATGGAGGCATTTTTCTTTCCACTGCAAATCTTATGGTGACGATGCAGAGGTACAGTTCTCTTAACTAAACCAGAAAGTATTTTTACCATTTGTACTCTCCCTCATATCAAGTCTTTTACTCCTTTTTCTAGCACTGAAATTTTAATGTTAGCATAAAAAGTAAAAATGTGGTAGATGTTTCATATTTGTGAGCCTGTAGATGTTTTAGCCAGTTTACTATACACTCCCTTTATATAGCTCAAGTTACTTATAGAGATGTTACAGAGAATTTAGGATAGTCTACCCATTGATCTGTTAAGGTTTCCTGTTTCTTAGACTTTGAGGATGCTATTTTTTCTTTCTTTAGTCATTATTTGGTGATTAGTATTTGAATATGAGTTTATGATTCAGGACAAATTATTCATACCTGCCATAGCTATAATATTATTGTTTCAAACTAAACCCATTGATCCTTGAAGAATGTGCCTTGAGGTAGTGAAGCTTTATGCATTTACCTTAAGGAGACAGCTTTATCCGTGGGTCACACCAGTGGTCATTGTATTAGCCATTGAATATTTTATCCAAAGGTCACATTGATCATTGTACTATCAATTCTATTTTAAATCATGATATCACATGTTGAGGTTTAAGAGTAGGAATGGAACCTAACTATATAAATAATTACTGGAATACCATTTAAAGAAACTGAATATTGAGGGTGGTCAACTTTGCATCTAGGAACAACATACAGTATATCTCTCACAGATCATTACATATAAATAATTTTAGAATTGTCAGATGATCATAAATTGGATGATGCAAGCTCCTTGTACTGAAGGCTTGTCAGGATAAATTAAGATTTTTATTCTTTGGCTGGCTCAAAATATTGTACAGTTTCTTTCAAGTTTCTTCAAACACTGCTGGAGACAACTGGCAACTCAAGGCCATTTGTTTACTATAGTACGAAGTATAATATAATACGAAACAACAAAGCCCAACCGTTAATTAAGCAACAGGGAACTAAGTAACCAATCACCGCTAACCTTATACATTCATTCATAATTTTTTCTACGTACTATAGTAAACAAACTGCCTCGAGTTGCCAGCAGTGTTCGAAGAATCTTGAACGAGACTGTACAGTAAGTACATGTGTGACAGGTTATCTGATAGTACAGTACAGGACCTGATAGGAACTAGGTAATAGTGAAAGGAATGGGTTGAATTAGTAAGAACACTGTATTGAAGTGAAAGTTAGTTCAATGATTACTGAGAAAGGCTCTTTGTCAGGAATACTCATAGGGGCATTGATGGGCTTTATCAACAGGAACATTGATGAGAGCCTATTGACATGGGAATGATGACAGGACAGACATAGGGGATTCTGACAAGTTGATTTAGGGAATGGCATTTTTAGGGGGAATATTAGGGAGAGGTTGTTTATGGGACTTGATGACATTAATGGGCTTGAGAAATTATGTGATGCTGACAGAATAGCCGTGATTAAACCCAAACTGATTTTTAAGTCATAGAGTCCAATACGGCCAGTGCAAATGATACCTGAATTTAAAACTATGTGACTTCTTATACTGTAGCACAAGTATCTCGTCCGGGAAGCTGTGTAGTTACATAAGTAATAGGTTAAGAAATAGGAAGTTTAAGATGGAAGATGTGAGGGTGTTGAAGGGTAGCTGCTGAAACAATTTGTTTATTGGATTTTTCAATCACCATTGAACTAATATTTCTGGGATTACATCGTCACATCCGGCAATAAGTGGGTTACATATTTAACTGTATTTTCAATCGTCTGTTTAAAATCATGTAGGTAAATGCTTGGCAGCTGTGTTTATTAGTCTTTGTTATTGGGAGTTATTATGGCTCACTTCTTACCAGTCTTATTATGGCCACCCTGGAGCTGGTGTGGTACTGTATACATACCGATATATTCACAGCATAGAAGTCGTGGATACAAACTGGCAGGCAGGAAATATAGAAATGAGAGATGTATGTCAGGCACAGATCACGGTCTCCTTAGGTGGTTGACATATTGAGAAAATGGGAAGTGAATTATTGGTAAGATGAGTGTATAGGTCACAGGTGTCAGGTAGAGAGAAGAGGAAGAGACCAAAAATTAGATTGAATGATGGGAGATGGACATATGGGAAGTGGTGTGAACTTCATGAACTGTTAGTAAGCATAACATCCAGTGTTTCTGGGGAAAGATATGGTGCTGATGGTTGATGCTGGCTTGTGTGAAATAACTAGGGTAAACCAGATTTGGGGCCTTGTTGTGAAAGGGGAATATATACCATGACAGAACACATCTGTCAGGGCAGTGAGATTGTGTATGTATGTGTGTATGCTCAATATTTATCACAAGTTAAACTGAGGGAGGAATAAACTCTCACAGTCTCAATGCTTCCTTCTTTATAAAATACTTAACTTGACCATTGCATGAAGAATTCTGCTAGTTATGAGAACTTCTATAGACCAGCACTGTGTATTTCCATTGCATATGCTGGTCACCTCAAGCAATTGGTGGAATATCCCAACCAACTGCACAGACACCTTATTCACAGGGGTTGTGTAATGGCATACAGACTCCATGAATACTGCCACTACAGTATATTATCCCTTCAGGTTTATGTACCTCCTACCCTAACCTGATTCAGAGACAACACGAAGCTACGGATTATATGATAGTATATTGGTATTTGAGATGCAATAAAATAAATCTTGCATGAATTTGGAGTTAATAATGAATGTATAGTGCATATAGATTTTAGCTATTTAAAGAAGTACCAGCAATTATATGTGCAAGTATACAGCATAACAGTTAACTATATTAGGTAAAAGTTTTTAATGTTGGCAGAGTTTTACAAACTTTTTACAATAAAAAATTTTCTTTTATGAAGGTAGAGTGGAAACGACTTAAATGGAAAAATACATTACTGTATTGTAGTTGATACACTTATACTTAGTTAGATACAGTACCGTGTATGTGTAAAAGATCTTCAAAATGTTTATCCAGTGAAATAGTTATTAAAACAT